TTTTTTTTTTTTTTTTGAGACAGAGTCTCACTTTGTTGTCCAGGCTAGAGTGAGTGCTTTTTGAAGTGACATGCTTTTTGAAGAAAACGGTTGACAGTCCAAAGCCCGTGGAGATCACTTTAGCAGGCACACAATAAATGTTTGTTGATGAGTCATTCATTTATTCATCCAATAAACATTTACTGAGGCCTACTAATGTGCCAGGCTGGGCTCTGGAGATGAAGACACCATCCCTGCCCTCAAGGAGTCCACAGTCTAATATGACAGGAAGAGAGACAGGCATCAATACTAGCATCATGATTTTTTTTTTTTTTTTTGAGACAGAGTCTCACTTTGTTGTCCAGGCTAGAGTGAGTGCTTTTTGAAGTGACATGCTTTTTGAAGAAAACGGTTGACAGTCCAAAGCCCGTGGAGATCACTTTAGCAGGCACACAATAAATGTTTGTTGATGAGTCATTCATTTATTCATCCAATAAACATTTACTGAGGCCTACTAATGTGCCAGGCTGGGCTCTGGAGATGAAGACACCATCCCTGCCCTCAAGGAGCTCACAGTCTAATATGACAGGAAGAGAGACAGGCATATATACACAGACAATTACAATACAATCTGATAAGTGTTCAAACACTTATCAGGTTGTATTATAATGGCCGATGTAAAATTTCCTTCCAGGGGGTGCTGCTCCAGGCTGCTGTTGGCTGTAACAAGAGAGGGGAGGAATAAATCGCAGAAATCAAAGGTTAAATAAATGCTCTTCAGCTATTTCAAATATGCAGGGTCACCCTAAACCCTGATCACAGATGGATTTGAGAACTAGACACTAGCACGATGTAAAATAGGACTTCTATGCTTAAGACAGGCACAGATCTCCAACAAAGCACCTTCTCAACCACCTCTTCTAAAACATGAGCCTTTTTTCCCTTCTTTTTGCTTATACACCTCTCGACCTCCCCACCCTACCACACATGAGCCTCGTTTAATATCTGCAGCTAACAAAATTCTGAAAAATGGGAGCTTACAACTAACTGGATTAACCCAGTGTAAGTGAATAGCAAAAAGCAGTTAACAGCTCACTTGGCACCTCTAAATCCAATAATTCCTATCTTTCACTGAAAAAAATAAAAGAATGTTACTAAATGCAAAATAGACAATACATAGCTCATGTAGTGGGGAATAACAAATTTGAAAGGTTTATTTAATAAACATAATTAAACAGATTCTTTGAACCAGAAATAATAGACCCGGTTTTAGGAAAGCAGAACTAGACCTCTCATGACCTTTGAGAATATCTAATTCACCGATACATTATAAATAAGAAAAACGAAAACAGAGAGGCAACACAAAGTTTTCAAAACTCCATTTTCAAAACTGTGTGATGGGGGAGGGGGGGAAATGGGCATTTATTGAAACCTTAAATCCGTGTACCCGCCCATAATATGCCGAAATAAAAAAAAACAAGAAAAAAAAAAAACTGTGTGGATGGGTGAGAACTTATTTTAGCAGGGACGTATCACTGTAGAATAGAAGTTATTGGTGGTCAGGATGGTGTATAGCAAAGAGAACGAGGCATGGTTTCTGGTGCCCCGAATACTTTCTTGTTTCTGTGTTGCGTTTTAAAATTTTTTTTTAACGACAGGAACTCCCTGTTGCCCGTAGTAGAGTGAAGTGCCATTAGGTGCAGCCTAGCTCACAGCAAACCTCAATCTTCCTGGGCCAACAGCGAATCCTTCCTGCCTTTCAGCTCCAGTAGCTGGACTACGCCAGGCATGTGCCACCATGCCGCGCTAATTTTTCTATAGTAGTTATATTAGTGGCAATTAATTTCTTTCTAGGTTTATAGTAGAGACAGGGTCTCGCTTGCTCAGGCTGTTTCGAACTGCTGACCTCTAGCCATGTTTTTTTTTTTGTGTGTTTGCCCCCGCCTCGGCCTCCCAGAGGCTAGGATTATAGGTATGGAGGCCACCCAGCCAGCCCCACAACCTTCCTTAAATAAGGCTCAGGAGTTAGAGACCAGCCTGAGCAAGAGAGAAAGACTCCATCAATAATATAAATAGAACACAAATTAGCCAACAATAAAATAGAAAAAATTAGCCCAGGCATGGTAGCACATGCGTAGTCCCAGCTACTTGGAGGCTGAGGCAGGGGATCGCTTGAGCCAGGAGTTTGATGGTTTGCTGTGGAGCTAGGGGCTGACCGCCGACAGGCACTCTAGCCCGGACCAACACAGTGAGACTCTGTCTCAAAATAAATAAATAAATAAATAAGGCCTAAGTTTTTAATGGCTCACTTGGCTCTGCACCAGCAAACTGGGCCAATGACATCAATAAGTAATTGGCAGTTACACTGAGATCTCTGTTTTGGGATCCAATGTGTCCATGCGTCTGTTATTTTATAAGCGTAACATACTATTTTCCCCTAAAGCTATCACACTGCTCTCACCTACACACTGTTCTGCCAATTGTCAGTCTGCTCTCAATGATTTCCCAGGTATTGCAGTTTGTTCCTATTAGCATTTCATATGCCCCCAGCACTTAGTAGTATCTATAAATGTGGACATTTCACTCTTGTCCATATCCTCCTTCCGATCACTCATAAATATTTAAAATAATACCAATCCCTGAATGGATGGGAGAGAGAGGACAACCCTTTTGTTGCTTGTCTAAATTGGTTTCTTATTAGGGACAAAATGTTGCCATCTTTTCCCTACTCCCAAAGCTAGAGAGTACCACTGTTGTGTAGCACTCACAAGAGCTTGCCTTTTAGATTAAAAAAAAAAAAAATGGCTTTCCATTTGAAAGTCAGATAGATGTTATCTCAAATTGGCTACCAAGAACCTGACATGTATCCCACACAGAAGCTGTATTTGGAATCGAAAACATTTCTTCAGACTCAATGGCAACCAAACATTACTAGGAGAATATCTCCAACAAATGACATTTGTCCTTTACAAATAAATTACATGCAGGCCCAAACTGAATGATTCACAAAAAGAAATAAGAGCTGATAATTAAGATCTAAAAGTCCAGCCTCACCAATAAGAGAAATGTATCATAAAACAAAGATTTCATTCTTTTACATATGAAATTAGCAAAAATAAAATATTTAAGAACCTAAATGGGTGTAAAAATCGACAAAATTTTTTGGAAAGCAATATGGCAACTCTTTATAATGTCCAAATCTTTTGACAAGTCAAATTCTAGAACTCTATAAAGAAATGACCCAAAACAGATAACAAAAACTAAATGAAAAGATAGTCTTTACATAATTTAAAACACTGAAAATCTGTAAAATACTTACATATAACAGAGTATCAAGAAACCATTAGGTGAGAATTATAAAGAATGTAAACATGAAAATATGCATGTTGTAATGTTAAAGACAAAATGCAATATAAAATAGTGCACATACATGATCAACTGTAGAAAAATGAAGAGAATGAGAAGATGTGAGCAAAATTATTAACACTGGTTACTTCTGGGTGGTGAAACTATCAGTCTTTTTGTCCCCATATTTGATGGTTATCCTCAAAGTTACAATGAATATTTACCAAATTTGTAGATTGAGGGAGCTATTCAAATTTAAACAATGGAAGAAAAATCACAAAATGGATGATAGATTTGACCACATGATTTCAAATCTCTACTAGCAAAAAATTTTTAAAAATTAAAAAGCAAACAGTAACCTGGAGTAGGTATTAATATTACAGAAATTTTAGTAAAATAGTGTTTATTTACAGAACACATTCAAATAGATAATAATAAACCCTAAACTAAAACTTCAACAGATAAATCAGTATAAGGTATAGACCATCACTGTATGAAAGAAAATAAAACTTATGAGAAACACATGGAGGAAAAAAGAATCCAAACTCACTAACAACCAAGAAATGAAAAAAATAATACTGGTTTTTACCCACAAAAATAATTTTTTAAGAAAAACATTCAGTGCTTGTGTGAGTAAAAATTGGTACAAACTTTTTAGGAAGAAACTTGACAATACATATTGAGTGTGAAAAATGTTCATAACCTTTGATGTAGTAATTCTACTACAATGTATGTAACCTAACCAAATAATAAAAGAAATACATGTATTTTCAGTCTTTTATTACAAGAAAAAAGGCAATAACCTTTTTACTATTGTACATTTGGATCAACACACCAAAATATTAATAAAGGTTAAAGACAAAAAAAAAAAAAACTCTATGCAGTAAATGACTGGTTGGCTCAGGGTTAGATCAGATCGCAAATCAGGCAAAACAAGAAGGGTGTGTCCAGCCTGCTGCTGTCGGCCATTTTAGACCCTCTGCAGAACAAAAAGCACAGAAGACATGGGTAGTTAAGGATAGCCACCCCAGTAGGCACCAACTCAACAATTCTTTACTTTTTTGTCCCCTAGGTATGTTACCTTGTACAATGGGTGTTGTCAAAAGAAGCAAACAACTCTCCTTTCTAAAATTGTTTAGAAAAGTTACAAACAAAATTTGAAATCATAAAAGAAGAGTCCTTTAAATTTGTCCTCTCATTTTAGGGGATAAAGTATAATGCTTAAGAGCATAGGAGTCTGGAGCCATACTACCTGGATAAAAATCTTGTCTCAGCCATTCAACTAGCTGTAAAGCCTTGGAAAATTTAATCTGTGTCCCTCAAATTTCTTATTTGTAAAAACTGAAGAATAGCACTGCTATTTGACAAGATTGCTGAGAGCACTAAATAAATTAAGGCTTATGTTAAACCACACACACCAGTCAGTACCTCGCACATAGTAAGTGCTTTAGACGTTTAAGTGTAATCATTATTATTACAGATAAACAGGCCCAGAGAAAGAAAAGGTCCAGCATGAGATAGCTAGGATTACTGGAAAAGATGTGTGCTTCTCACTTCTGAATCCTGTGCCCTATGTACTACACACACATGCACTAATAATTTAGTGCATATATATATGCACTAAATTATAATAATATATATGCACTAAATTATTATTTTAGCGGTTAACAACAAATCCTAACGGGCAGCTCTCAGAGAGACTGCCTTAAAAAAAAAAAAGAAAAAGAAAAACTCCAGTCTTCCAGCTAGACAAAGGCGTGCTGAAAGTTCTACATAAGAAAAAATAATTTAGAGGAAAGGGTGTAAGCCCAGATCAGCTTCATACCATCACTACTATTAACTACTTTCAATCTCTTTACACGCCAGTATGAGTCCCAGACAGCCAAACTTCAGGTTTAAAGCAAAGTGTAACAAGCGTTTGGAAACATAGCAAATCCTCACCCCGATGTTCTACAAGGGGAGAAAATTAAGGGCTTTTGGCCAATATAACAGCAGATTCTCACATTGCTTTGCTACTGTGATGGGAAGAACAGTGTATCTATCCAGAGCCAAGTATAACGGCCCCAAATCCGCAAACCAGGCTGAGAGTCCTCCGACTGTGTACTGCCCAAGTGTGGCCTGTCTCCAAGCGCTCCCTTTTTACGCATTTCCTACACGCGGCCAGCTGCCGCGACCTTTTGCAGAGTCATCATCGCCTCCGCATTTTTAAACCCACTCATCGATAGGCCAGTGAGTGGATAAGATTCTGGCTCAATTCCTAGTGGATTTGGCGACAGCGTAAGACAACTCCAACTACCAAGGCAGATCTTTTTCTCTGCAGACCCTGCTCGCCCAAGATGGCCAAGCAAAGACAACTTACCTCCCCCCTCGCCATTTTGCAACCTTAATAACTCGTAGGCTGCGCGCCTCCCCTCCCCTCCCCATCGAGTCATTCTGTCTGAAATACGCATGCGCGTCTCTCCCTCCCGACAGTTGAACCCGTCACCATGTTGTCTCAATTACGCATGCGCGCCTTCTCCCCCTCCCAGCCGCTGTGGCCAACTCCTAGCAACGTAGCATTCTCAACTACGCATGCGTGTCTTTCGCTTTCGCCCTTCCACCCCGCCACTCCGCCTAAGCGGGGCGCGTGCGTGCCTCCCTCTCCCCGCGACCACTGGAACCCCTTCCCCTCAAGTCAGGTCTTCTCAAACACTGCATACTTGGGCGCCGCCATTCGGCGCCGCGTCTCCCCATCCTCTCAAATACTACGGGTACCGTGCTAGTCCTCTCCCATTCTCTCCCTTCCCTCTCCCACCGTTTTTTATATATAGTATATATGCCTGCTGCTGTCTGGACGTGTTTCTCGCCACAGTTGTGCCCCAGTGCCAATGGCGAGCCATTTAGCAACGTTCTCAAAAATGCGGGTAGATAGGATAAACTATGGAAGTTGAATTCGGGAAAGAAGGCACAGCAGGAGATAGAGAAGGGCAGGTCCCAGATCTAGATGGAATCCGCCCAGGCCCCAAGGGAGGGGCTAGAGTAACCTTGGATTCACGTAACAAGACCCGCCGACATGAACAAAAGCAAAGGAAGCTTTCATAAATGATCGGATGAGCCTTAGCCTAAAGCCTCACCCTTTAAATACACCTGCTACAAGTGAGGCACCCCAAATTTTGTAAACAGGAAACCTTATGGAAAATACTCCTGCTCAGGTGCCTCGACCCGGGTTAGAGGAAATGAATCTGCATCCCTTTTGCAATGGGAGGGTAGTGCTCAACATCGTTTTGGAGAACTGAAGCCCATCCTGGACCCCATTTTTTTCCTCCCGTGAACCGGAAGAATGCACAAATTAAGGATCACCCTGGCCCAAGTTCCCTCCGCCGCCCTCCATGTTATGTTCTTCCCCTACATCGTTCCTTTACCTCCCGGCTGAATCGAGTGTCGTAGCAGGAATTCTTAAAGCCAGCAGTCCCAAGACTGGGTGGAGAGAGCGGCGGGACAGACAGAGAGCGCGCCTGAGTGGCAGCAGCAGGCCTTAATGGCAGTGGACAGCAGGCAGGGGACCGGTGGCTCAAGCCGCAGCCCTGATGCCAGAAAAGGACATCCTCCTAGATCGCCGCACTGTGCTTCCAGCGCATGCGCCGCGCGCGCCCTCCCGCCCCTCCCGCCCCTGAGGGTCTAACCCTTAGCAGTCCACCGACCTCCTTTCGCCCCTCCGCCCGTTCCCAGGTCCCTAGTCCGCCGGGCTTCTTCCACCTTACCCCTCCCCTTGGTCACACCGGCCTCCACCATCATCCCTCCCTCAGCCCATCCTTTCGTCAAACCGTCTCCCGTTTTTTTGTGTTTGTTGTTTTTTTTTGAGACAGAGTCTCGCTGTGTTTGCCCAGGCTAGAGTGGTGCTGTGGCGTCAGCCTAGCTCACAGCAACCTCAAACTCCTGGGCTCAGCAATCCTCCTGCCTCAGCCTCCGAGTAGCTGGGACTACAGGCATGTGCCACCATGCCCCGCTAATTTTTTCTATATATATTAGTTGGCCAATTAGTTTCTTTTTATTTATAGTAGAGACTGGGGTCTCGCTCTTGCTCAGGCTGGTCTCGAACTCCTGACCTCGAGCAATCCGCGCTCGCCTCCCTCAGAGTGCTAGGATTACGGCGTGAGCCACCGAGCCTGGTCCCTCCCGTTTTTTTTTTTTTTTTTTTGTTTGTTTTGTTTTATTAGGCTTATATGTTCAACCTCTCCCCGTTCTTAGCCCACCATTCGGTTGCCAAGTCTCAGTGTTGGCTACTTTAATTCCCTGAGGCACTTAGTGGCCTACCCTCTGATTCTTGACCCTTCTCTGCCTCTCTGCAGCCCTACTCCTCTCCTTTTGGCCCTGGTGTTGCAAATTGTAAAAAATACAGCAAAAAAAAAAAATCATTTTTAAAAAGAGTTTTATATCCACACAATCCTCTCTAAAGTGGTTCTCAGGCTGGGCCAACCAGCCAGCGTGGGGCCAACAGAACACTTTATTGACGATGGCCCACAGAGAAAACCTAGAGACAAGGAACCAGAAGACCCCTCACACGGAGCAAAAATGGCAAGGGTGGTCCATCACTTTGAGGGGGAAAGGCAGTATGCCATCAACATGGAGGACTTGGCCAGGCATGGTGGCTCACGCCTGTAATCCTAGCACTCTGGGAGGCCGAGGCAGGGATTGCTCGGGTCAGGAGTTCAAGACCAGCCTGAACAAGAGTGAGACCCCTTTTCTACTAAAATTAATTGGCCAGCTAATATATATAGAAAAAATTAGCCTGGCTCGGTGGCACATGCCTGTAGTCCCAGCTACTGGGGAGGTTGAGGCAGGAGGATGGCTTGAGCCCAGGAGTTTGAGGTTGCTGTGAGCTAGGCTGACGCCACGGCACTCACTCTAGCCTGGGCAACAAAGTGAGACTCTGTCTCAAAAAAATAAAAATAAAAAAAAGGAATAAAAAAAAAACATGGAGGACTCTTTTCTTTCTCTTCAGAACCCTGGTATTCTCTGGACATTAAAAATACTATTCATGCCAAATGTTTAGAGGCTTAAAAAAATAATACTGTTCAGTGTTTGTCACTGTTAACTACAAGGCTTGTTCCTGTCTTCTGTAAGAACACAAATATTAATTTTCCGAGAAGTGGCATCATTTATTCAAGAGGCTCTGAGGGCCGGGCACAGTGGCTCACGCATGTAATCCTAGCACTTGGGAGGCCGAGGCAGGCGGATTGCTCGAGGTCAGGAGTTCGAAACCAGCCTGAGCAAGAGCGAGACCCTGTCCTACTATAAGAAAGAAATTAATTGGCCAACTAATATATAGAGAAAAAATTAGCCGGGCATGGTGGCGCATACCTGTAGTCCCAGCTACTCGGGAGGCTGAGGCGGGAGGATCACTTGAGCCCTGGAGTTTGAGGTTGCTGTGAGCTAGGCTGAAGTCATGACACTCACTCTAGCCTGGGCAACAAAGCGAGACTCTGTCTCAAAAAACCCAAAAAAACCAAAAGAAAACAAACAAAAAAAACTGTGGGCATGTATAGCCTTAATTAAAATATAACCTAAAGGAAATTTTCCACTTGAAACACTCATTTTTGGGGGGACTACAGGCACACGCCACCATGCCCGGGTAAGTTTTTCATTATATATTTTAGTTGGCCAATCAGTTTTTTCTATTTTTAGTAGAGATGGAGTCTTGTTCTTGCTCAGACTGGTCTCGAACCCCGACCACTGAGTATACCCCTCCTCGGCCTCCAAGTGGTAGATTCGGCATGAGCCACTGTGCCTGGCCCTAAATCTTAACTATGAGAAATGCCACAGGTCACATTTTTTGAACAGGAAGGAATGCAAAGTCTATCCTAAAGACCCAAGTGTTTCTAAGCATGGGTTACTGACACTAAGAAAAAATAAAAAGAAAAAACAAAAAATGTAAAAGTAAAGAAAAAAAAAAAAAAGACCCTAATGTTAAAACAAACAAAAACAAGACAACACCACTCAGTTAATTGATTGTTGCCCTTTTGGTTTCTTGAGCACACGGAAAGTTGGGGCAAAAGGGCGGCTGGAATGCCTGTGACATCTGTGTTGTTTTATTTATTTATTTATTTCAGCATATTATGGGGGTACAAATGTTTAGGGTACATAAATTGCCCATGTCCCCCCCCCCAGAGTCAGAGCTTGAAGTGTGACCATCCCCCAGACTGTGCACATGTCACTCATTATGTGTGTATACACACATGTCCTGTTCCCCACTGCCACCTGCTAGACACCCGATAAATAGTGTTCCTATGTGTCCACTTGGGTGTTGATCCGTTAATTCGAATCTGCTGGTGAGTACGTGTGGTGCTTGCTTTTCAATCCTTGGGGACACTTGACTTCGTAGAACAGGGTGCCTGTGACGCGCTGACGGGGCCGTGCGCAAACCTTGTGTGACGTCGCAGAGGCCTTTTGAGTAAAACGGCCATTTGTTCCTAAGCCACCTTAAGGGGAGTCGCGTCGGGGCCTCCGGGACAGCAGTGGGCCCGCTCACCGGAAGATCTCACCGTAGCCATGAGCAATAAGGAATGTTTCAAGTGTGGACGGTCCGGTCACTGGGCCCGGGGATGTCCTAGAGGCGGGGCCCGAGGCCGGGGCGCCCGCGGCCGCGGCAGAGGGTCTCCGTGCTGCTCCACCACCGTCTCCGACAACTGCTACCGCTGTGGGGAGTCCGGTCATCACGCCAAGAACTGTGACCTTCTCGAGGACATCTGCTACAACTGCGGGCGAAGCGGCCACATCGCCAAAGACTGTAAAGAGCCCAAACGAGAGAGAGAGCAGTGCTGTTACACCTGCGGCAGACCCGGTCACCTGGCTCGCGATTGTCATCGTCAGGAAGAGCAGAAATGCTATTCTTGCGGCGAATTTGGGCACATTCAGAAAGACTGCACCCACGTCAAGTGCTACCGATGTGGTGAGACCGGCCACGTGGCCATCAACTGCAGCAAAGCAAGCGAAGTCAACTGCTACCGCTGTGGCGAATCGGGACATCTTGCGCGGGAATGCCCCATTGAGGCTACCGCTTAAGTTCCTTCCTGTGTCCCCTCCCCCTCTCTCCTTTTGCTGATTGATAATTGTATTATTTTCTCTGGAACCTCTTCACTGACCAAAAGGTTGATAGATTGAGGCTACTCTCAGACCAGTGAGCTTTAATTACCATGTTAAAGAAGGAAAGGGCTGCAACAAAAATCTCAAAAAAAAACAAACCAAAAAAACCAAAAAAAAAATACACGTGAATCACTTCTAGATGCTTCGCAGTTAAGGTGATACTTCTGTGCAGTACATGGAGCCAGTTATGGAGTCGTCACTCTGAGCATAGTCAGTTTCTCAGTTGTTTTGCTGAACTTGGAGTTAACGCATTTAATTAGGAGATTCCAGTAGTGTGCCAAGAACCATTAGAAGAGTTGAAGATAAGTGAATAAATCAGAACAAGTTGAGGAACACAGGCCTAGAATCTATTAACAGGAAAAATATGTAGTATGTCAGATGAAGGTAAAATGCCACAGAGAAAAAAGAACACCAGGTAAAAGGATAAAAAAAGAAAGTGTATGTTGGACGATGAGGGGAAGAATGTGGTGCTGTTTTAGATACACGAGGCTACCCTGAGGAGGTGATATTTCCTCAGAGATCCATAGAACAAATAAAGCTGATTCTGGAAATATCTATGACCTTGCCAAAGTAATTTTAATTTTTTTTTTTTATTGATGGCTTTGAATTATCTGACCTCATTAGCTTTTAAATAATATTGAAAGATATCTCTGTCTGGCCCCTCATAGAGTGTGTAGTTTAATGAAAACAAATCAGAAAAAAAGATGTATAAATGTGAGTTGCTTTGAGAGAGAAAGAGCAATCAAAAAAACCAAAACAAAACAAAAAACCTAAACTACAAATCACACTCATACAGACATTGATGTCAAAGTTTGGACTTACAGGTTTTTAAAAATATCTAAGGAAATAAGTATAAGCATAAATATTAAGCAGTTTGGGGCTTCGGTAATTTAATAATACTCTTCACAGAGATGAAAATTATATTATTTAGGAGTTTCTGAAAAATGTGTTCTCACAGATAAAATTGTTAAGTTTCATATGCTGGAAGCAATTTCAAAACTCAGATCTGAAAAACAACTGAACTTTTATAAAAATAGATAAAGCACTTTTAAACTCTAAACAAAACCTAGGGGGAGGGACGTAACTATTGTATCAAGAGAAAATTGAAATTGTCATGGTAAATGGTTTAGAAAACAATAATGTCAAACCTGGGATATGATAGAATTTAGAACACAAAAACTAGTGTACGGGGTACAGTTTTTGGCCCATGAACTCAAATGGTCAAGAAATGTAACTTATTTTATAACTGAAGCCACACTCTTTTGCAAACCATGGTAAGAGTTACTGTATTATCCATCTGAAAGGCCTCTTCCATTCAGCTGAGTTCCTTTCAACTTCTGTGACCCTTTTGGGCTCCTAAAAATTGATTCTATCACTCTTTGTGCTGTCTAATAAACTTAGGCACACTCCCAGCCCCTAAATGGGACAGTCTCAGTCCAATCTGCCAAGACACAGCATGAAATTCCTATA